GTGAGATTACTGTACCTCTCCTCTGTGAAAACAAGCTATTAGAGCTTGATTGCCCTGGACAGGGTGCAGGGGCTTGGACCAAGCATTCTTCAGCTGAGGTAGTTCCCCCAGATAATTGGCCACTGAGAGCTGTGTCTTAGAAAGACTTCTACCAACTAAGAGTCAGGTTGTGCACCATGATGTTCATTACAACTGGAGTTAGTTGTTACATATCTTTAATTTCTTGCCAGCTGAAACAGTTCCTTAGTTTTTCCTTTTAGTATATTGTGACATGTCCTTCAATTTAAATTTGTTTCATGGCTCATGAACAGATTTCAGTAGTACATCTTTAGCAGGAATATCACAGCAGTGTTATGTTCTTTTTAGTCATGTCAGTTGACCTGTGATTTCAAATTTTCCCTGGTGATTTTATCTTTGAACATTTGACTAAAAGCTTGATTTATCCACTGTGAAGTTATTATTTTCCTTTCTGTAATTTTTAAGTATTTTGTGAAGTAATACTTCGAGTATATGAAATATTCCATTTTTCATCAATTTTCAATATATTAATTTACATCAATATATAATAATGGATTTTTATTTTATTTAGTGGGTTGTAGTTTATTATTTGATCTTCTATCTGTTCCATATTTGACTAGTGGAAACCCCTTCAAGTTAGCTCTGTGTCTTTTTGACATGACTCCTTACCCATTACTTGTTGAGCATGTCCCCTCTTTCAGGTTTGGACTTAAAAACATTTCGGGATTTAAATAACTCTGTGGAGAGAGGTTGCTTCCCTTTTCCTTCCCATAAAAATTCAGTCCAAAAACCACAGATGGAATTGAGGTAGATGTCTGTGTAGGGGGCAGGGAAGTCACAGTAGCCACAGGGATTCCAGGTTTGTCTTGAACTTTTTCTGTCTCAACCCTGAATCAGCTATTTCTACAGAGAGCCTAGGTTTCTTTCAGTGTAGAATGGTATTTAGAAACAAAGATTTGAGTATTAGGTTGCCGCAGTCCAGCTGCAGCATAATAAGGGGGGGGGGGGGACGAATAACTTCTGTAGATTGATACAGCAGGAATAGGAGCCGTTTATTGTAGGACAACAGAGCTATTTATACATTTTGCACAGCTTATCTTAATTAGCATAAACTAGATACATCAGTCAACCAATAAGGAATCTCCACACTTAATGGCTCGCTTTTGTTATTTCTCAAACCACTCCCTCTGGCATTTTGCCAGGCACCATCCAGACTTGTTTACGAACTCTAACATTTCTCTGGCAAAATACCAGTGTTATTTTGACTTGTCTACAGACCTTAACATTAGGTGTGCTCATAACTGGTAGGGTATGGCTGTTCCCAGGCCCTCACAGTTAACAGAGCTTGTGAACCAAGGATTGTAAGTATTTATATACATAATTGTTTTAGTCAGCTTTTGCATTGCTGTGACCAAATTATCCAACAAGAACAACTTAAAGGAGGAAAAGTTTTTTGGGGGCTCACAGTTTCTGAGGTTTCAATCTATAGTTGACTGACTCCATAACTCAGGGCCCAAGGTGAGCCAGCACATCATGAGGAAAGGGCCCAATGGAGGAAAATTGCTCAGCTCATGGCCAGTGGGGAAGCAGAGAGGGCAGGAAGGATCCCCAGGGAATATGCACCCCTCCAGGGCATACCCACAATGATTCACCTCCTCTAGCCATGGCTACCTGCCTGTAGTTACAACTCAGTCCATCCATTCACACCAATATGGACTGATTAGGTTATAGCTATCACAATCCAATCCTTTCATCTCTAAATATTCTTGCATTCATAAGAGCTTTTGGGGAATCCCTTGTGGCCAAATCATAACAATAATTTATGTCATTTCTATGTATCTGTCCCCCCTCTTTCTCTACAATACTATATATTATAAGAATTTATAACAATTTCTCCAATACTAATTCAATACCACAAGGTACATTTTAGTTTTTTCACTTTGTATTTCTGTATTTATTCTCCGAAGGAGAAATACCTGCCTCCTGTTACACTTAATACATTTCTTTTTTGGATCACTACTTTAGTGTGTCACCAATACCCCATCTCCACTACTGCTAAAGTACTCCTGTCCAGATGCTCTTCTTACTGAAACTTGGACACTGACACCCTGTACCACAATCCTCTCCCCTCTACTATGGAATCCTTTCTCGTTCCAATTGGGTTTTGACACTTTGTGCCAGATGGACCCTCCTATGCCGAAACACCCTCACCCTGCTTGAACTTTGGACCCTGCTTAGGCCACTGTGGCTTCCCTCTCTCCAGAACAGATACCTATTTGACTCCATTCTACCTCACAGATTTTTGATTGCATTTTATGGGAAAGAGGAGTTCTCTCCATCCACTTATTTAAATTTAAATTGATTAAGGCCAAACATAAAGCCTTTCTCTTCTCCTCTTCTTCAGGATGTAATTTCTTTCTTCTGGAAATTTTTATATTTTTTTTGTTAGGGTCTATAAACAAGTCAGGATGGCGCTTGGCATTTTGCCAGAGGGAGTGGTTTGTGAAGTAACGTGAGCCATTAAGTGTGGAGATTCCTTATTGGTTGACTGCTGTATCTAGTTTATGTTAATTAAGATAAGCTGTGTGGAATGTATATATACCCCTCTTGTCCTACAGTAAATGGCTGCCACTCCTGCTGTATCAATGTACACAGGTTGTTCGTCACCCCCGGTTATTTTGCTACAGCCGGACTGCGGCATTTTTTCTTTATTCATCTTATATCTGTTTATACATGCTACCAACTCTGTGTAACTCTTTGAGATCAGGGATGATTTTGTGCAAGTTTTTTTTTAAAACCCTTTAAATATATATATATTTTTGTTTAGCAATGAATACAGAGGCAGTTAAAAAAACCTGAGTTGATCTATGAAAAGGTTTCTCTTATTTTTAAGCACAAGATGTTTTATAATTGAATCCTACTTCATTATAGATCAGTAAATCTTTGGCTGATAGTTGAATAATAATAAATTCAAGTAAGTAAAATGGAAAACATTTTGGTTCTAAGTAAAGAACATTATTCTCTTTTATTTTTTATTAATTTGTACATGTAGAAAATAGTGTGTATTAAAATCTAATGCCCTGTTTTGTTGATTTATTATGCACATTTCATTAAGTAATTATGGAAGGCAGTCCTTGTGTTGCATGTTTCCCTGTGCATGAATTTTAATAACCATGTTTTAGTTAAATAACAATTTTAAACAACACAGTTTAAAATTTATTTTATCTCAGTATATTAACTTTGAGTATAAATAAAGTGCAAACTTAACTGTAAACTTTGCTTCTATTTCCTGAGTTCACAAATCACTATTTTAAAAAAAGCTGTGTATCATGATTATGACCAATCCATCACTTCTTTCACAGCCTGTTGTTATTTGTCGGTGTGTATCTATTCAGTTGACTCACGGAAAAGTATTGATAAACTCATGCAGTGTTTTACAAGAAATGGACCAAATGGAAAATAAAGGCCAGGCATGGTGATACATACCTATGGTCCCAGCTACATGGGAGGTAGAGGCAGGAAGATCATTCAAACTCAGAAGTTTGAATCCAGCCTGGGCAACATACTTAGACCCCATTTTAATAACAACAACAATAAAAAAGGGAAAGTATTTCATTATAATAATGTAAAAAATAAAGACTATTATTTTTTGCATTATTATAATGAAATACTTAAGACTGTGTAACTTTATATTAAAAAAAGGGTTTGCTTAGCTCATAGTTCTGGAGACTCATATAGATCTGGTGATGGCCTTCTTGCTGGCAGAGTCCCAATACAGTGCAGAGCCTCACATGGCAAGACATTTGGGAGTGTGTGTCTGTCTTTACTCTGGTGTTTTTCTTTTCTCTCCGTATAAAGCTACTAGTATTCAGTCATTCAATCTCCTTATAAAGCTGCTAGGCTCCACCTTCATGACTTTATTGGATTCTAATTTCCTCCCAAAGGCCCCACTTCTAAACACCATAGTTGATTAATTTTTCCCTCAGTACCTCATAATGGGGATTAGCTTTCAACACATGCTGTGTTGGGGGACACACTCAAACAATATCCAAACTATAGCATTGATAATACTATAGTGAGATTTCATCCAGATATAAATGCAATACAGAAGAAATAGCTGAATGTGAGAATGCCAACACTGGCACTGAACTGCCGCCATTTAAGACTTGAAGTCTGCTGCCAGCAGAGCTCAGGGGAGGCAAATTTATGAATGTAAATGAGGAAAGTGGGAGGTTGTGATGAAAAGATGATGTTCTAGAGGAAGTGACCCTGGCAAAAAAGTTCATTTTATTAAAGGAACTCTCAGAGATATTTCAAGACATTGAAAATACAAAGGATAAATTTGTGTGTGTGTGTGTGTGTGTGTGTGTGTGTGTGTGTGTGTGTGTTTCTAATCTAAGACTTAGAAAAGAATGTGATAATTCAAGGTACAGGAAGGATGCTTTATATTGTTAAGTTATATGATGAGAAATAGTATGAAAAGAAGAGGACTCAGATTGTTCAAGTTGCTTTACTTAAGTACAAAGAAATAAAACATTTTACTTGTCTGTGTTTCTGTTTTAAAATACAGTATACTGAATTAACATTAATTTTACTATTTTCAAGATTTCCCTTTGCATTTATACCTGTGAGAGACGTTTTTAGTGTTTTGACAAATTCTTGAAGGTTACAGAATCATTGAATTTTCCCCACTGCTTATATATTTATTTGACAGTGCTAGGGATTTAACCCAAGGCCACAAGCATGCTAGGCAGGTGCTCTACCACTGAGCTACCCTCCTACCCCCACTGGTTATTAAGACTGCCTGTACAGTTGAAGCTTGCAGTGTCAATTGTACAGCCCTATACTACTGAATAAATCAAAGACTGCCTTCAAACTAACATGTGACACTTAAAAACTTCATATACATTCATGAACTTTAAAAAATATTTACACATTGTAATTACTTTATTGCTTAAATACATTTTAATTTTAAAATATTTTTAGCATGCAGATATCCCAAACCTGAGATTGTCATTGTGAAGCGTGCAAAGGAGATATCATCAGCAGAGACCTCTGATAATTTTGGTATAGTATAGTACATTCTTATGGTGTTGATTGCTTGTCACATGTTCATTGCAAGTAGAAAAGCATCTACTTGATGGAACTTCTTGCTTGTTTGAAATAGAATTAATTAAATTTTTTATATTAGTATTTTAGACTGTCAGCAGTATTTATTTCTGTCATCTAACCCTGGGATTTGTGGATATGATTGAATAATAATTGCATGATTAACTAAACTAAAGTATTATATTTATGACCTTAAGACAAAATCACTTTTATTTAATATTTAATAATGTATTTAAAAAATATAAAATAACCATAGCAAGTAAAACATAAGAAGCAACAAAGGCTATGAATTTTTTTAAGACTACGCAGGAAAAAAGGACCACATATAGATATTTCAGAATATTCCAGAGACAAGCTGACAAGCTGTATTTAAGTAGCTGAACTTCAGGAACTATTCAGTGTATGTATACATGCATACATAAATATGTAATACATATACAAATATTAATGCCTGCATGAATATATATGTGTGTGCATGTATACATAATTTTTTTTTCAGCACTAGGGATCGAACCCAGGGTTTTATGCATGCTAGGCAAGTAAGTATGCTTTCACTGAGTTACAATGCACCTCACCCTCAGTATTTTAAAGATATAATCTTGACTGGTTTGAAAGTTTTATATACGTTTATTCAAGGCCCTTAATGATATTTTTTTTTTAGATTTATCTGCCATATAGCTTGCTGTCTAATTTTAGTTGCATGCTGTGGTGGTAATGGAATTCTGTGTGTTTGAGAGAACGAGAGATAAAGACTAAAATACATATATCTCTGTCCTTATTTATTATTCAATTTAAATATATTGTCTAAGAAATATAATGTGGTGTCTAAAAAGGATTCTGAAGTATTTTGTGGTTTATGAACATTGAAATTATGTTTGGTTAAGGGTTAAATATGATGTCAAGGGCAAAAAACCATGTCATAAGAACTTAAGAGAAATGTCTTATGCGTGTAATATATGTACACACATATTAATGTCATTACATTGTAAGAATTCTTCAGTATACTCTACCAGTTCTTAGGTAATTCTAAAATTAAAAAATTTAAATCCAGTAGGTATAAACATTTAATGCTAATATCTTTTGAAGAATAGTTTTGATTTTGAATTACTTTGAAGATTGATTTTTTTTCTCTCTCATTTTTGGAATGATATAGGGAAAAGAAATGATAGTAGATTATGATAATCAATATCACTAGGAGGTGCAGTGCTGATGAATGATTGTAGGGTTTACCTGTAAGTGCTCACCTTCTGAGAATCAGTCTTTAGTTATATCTTTAGTCATTATAATGTTCTTTCTCATGAATTTTAGGTGGCACCCCTCTATATTTAAAATATACTGGTATTCAGTAAAGAAGAAATATAAAATTAAAGCCTTAAAGGGAATGAGAGAACTGAACCTCTCATTTAATTTGTAACATGAAAAATGTGTTTAGGATTTGGTGACTAATTACATATTAGGGTAGGGACTTGTGTCAAGTCCTTTGGGGTTTTAGTTTAGTGCTCTTTCACAATAATGGATTTCTTTAGGGTTAGCAGTAGAGATTAGTCCTAGACTACAAGTATCTAGTTATGAAACCATCAGAAATCATGTAATGCCTCTATTCAAGAAATGTTTTAACTGGTAGCCATGATGAATCATTTGTTTTATTTCTCTTTCTCTAACTTCGATGGATTTAAAAAAAATGATGTGTCTGAACTAGAATTATTTCTTGGCAAAGAAGGGGAAAAAGCAATTTGAAGAGGATATTAGTATTCAAGTTAATTGCAGTTTTACTTCAGTTTCAAATATTAATGCAGTAGTTTGTTTGATTGTTTGATGGATGGGTTGATTGGCACTGGGAATTGGACCCAGTTACATACTACAAATGAGCTACATTCCCAGCCTTTCTAAGGTTTTTCTTTTTTGAGAAAGGTTCTCACTCAGTTGCTTAGGCTGGTCTTGAACTTGCCCTCCTCCTGCTTTATCCTTTCAAGTCACTTGGATTACAGTTATGCCCAGCTTTGACAGTATTTTATATATTCACATATGATTGATATTAGTTACTTTTAATTTTAATTGAAAACTTATTAAATGAAAGAAAATTGGAAGCTAAAATATGGGTTCTGGACCTACCTATGCATTAATAAGTCACTTTTAACATCTGAGTCTCCATCTTCAAAGTGAATTAAGTCAGCATTTCTTAGTAGGCATGCTACTGACATTTAAGCTGGATGAGTCTTTCTTATGAAGGATTATTTATTGTACTGTAGAAAGTTTAGATTCCATAATGCTAGTGGCATTTCCCAGTATTATTATATGTAAAACAACCATACATTTCTAAACTTTCTCTGGGAGAGGTCCCATATTGAGAGCCACTGGCAGTTTGTTTCTAAGACTCCTTAAAGCTCTTACATTCTATGAAAGAATTCTTATTTGGGAAATAATTGAAAGAGAAAAGGTAACACATCAACTGAAATATCTCTGTTGCTTCTTATATGTTAAGCAATGTTACTTTAAAATGAATATCTTTTGGGTATCTGTGTAGCTATACTCATAGACATTTAAGCTATTCTATGATTATTTTTTTCTAATTCACTTGAATATATAAATATATATATAATATGTATGTTATGTATATGCATATATATATTTGTATGATTTTTCAAAACTAAATATATCTTTATACCAAATAAATGAAAGTAACAAGATCTATCTTTAGCTGGGCGTGGTGACATAGGCCTGTAATTCTAGTGGCTCAGGAGGCTGAGGCAGGAGAATCCTGAATTCAAAGCCAGCTTCAGCTCTTGCTTAGTGCCTTGCCACTAAGCAACTCAGTGAGACCTAAGGAACTCAGTGAAAGCCAAGCAACTCAATGAGACCCTGTCTCTAAATAAAATACAAAATAGAGCTGGTTATGTGACTTAGTGGTTGAGTGCCCCTGAATTCAATCCCCAGTACCAAAAAAAAAAAAAAACCACACAAAAAAACAAAACCTATCTTTAAAAGGTACTCTATTGTTTCAATATCTTAGCCTCTTAAAAAGGAATATTATTGTACATAGTAATTATTTTCTTTGCATGATGAAAGGGAAGTCTGTGTTAAGTAATATATATAATTGTTCCAAGTATACAAGTTTGGCATGTGGAAGCAACCACAAATCAATATGTTGATTTGGTTTTCCTAAAAATAAATGTTTGGTTATCCTAAAAAGAAACCTACCATGAAATAAAGGAAGAAAAATTATTGTATCTCTAGTATTTACTTTCACTTAAGCCACAGTTAATTAATGGGTTTTGTACATATGAGTGATTAATTGAGTGGTACAGCTATGCTATCATTACCATTGGCCAACTCTTGTCTGTTACACCACTGGCCTGCACCTGCCCAGAAATCTGTTAGTTTCTTCTTGTTACCCACCTGGATTGCAGTAAGGCCCCAGGAGGCACATTAGTTCACAGGAAGTTAATGAGGTGACACTGTTAGTTCTTGTGATCTAAGTAGAAATTTATTTTTTTATATAATGCATATGTTATATAAAACACTTTTAAATGCTAAACAGAATTATAAGATCACACTCAAATGCTTTTATGGGTTTTACCTATGACATGTAATTTAAAAATAATTATAAATCCTTTTACAATTAAAATATTTATTTACAAATACTTGTTAATTAAAACCTACTAAATTCTTTGCTGTTTATAAAGTGTTCATTTTCAATTTTGAATGTCATTTTTTGAGAGACTATTGCTGACCTGTATTTACTTGTTTGTGTAGCTTTTAACCCCCTTTTGGTGCATGACTTTTTGGCATTTTACATGATTTACTTAAATTATTTTGCATACAGCATTGTTGCATTTTAAGTTCTTATTCTTTATTGTATATTTATTGTAAATTTCACCTTACCCATTCAATTTTGTTTCTATTAGAAAACTAAGCACTTATTTATAATGTTCAGAAATATGGGCATCTGAGACCGGATACCTAAATTATTGTTTAAATGCACTAGTTTTATCTTTGTTCTTTTAAATAATCTCTTATTAGGCCATACTTTGCCTGCTTCCTTTACTTTCTCGGGGAAGATGCTGTGGTGGGTTTGGAGGAGATTTTAGGTGTTCAGAAATTCAGAAACTGGATAATTGGGCTCTTAAGGATTATTGAGTTATTTATCATAAAGGAATACTAGGTGTTTTATATCACCTTAGAGTGAAGTTGTTTTAATGCTTTTCCTAAGTTTATTGTAAATTATTTTTAATTTTCCCCTTAGTTTGAGATCTTATTTTGGTATTTCTATACATGGTAATAGGCCATGTTATTGCCATGTTTGAAGTGGAATTATTTCTTGGGAAAGGAAGGGAAAAAACAATTTGAAGAGGATATTAGCATAATAGAAAATGGACAAGATAAAAACTCTTCTTTTTGTTTTTCAGAATTTATTTTGTTTCACTTTGGAATTACACCTTGTAAAGTAGGATTAATTTAATGGATTGCTTAACAGTGAAAATGACAAATTATAGTTTCAATTAGATATTATAATAGAGTGCTGTAATGAGTTCTAGTTCTGTTTTCATTCACCATCATTGTTGTAAATATGTTTTGTGATTTGATAATGGAGACGAAAATGTAGACTGTTCCACTTATACTTCTTTTATCAAAGTGTTTTGATTTTCAATTTAAGATGTGTATCTTAGAAGAGTATTTTATTTAAAAAAGAAATGTATTAGGCAGCATAAATTACCCTAAAACTTTTGTTAATATTGGACTAATGGTCTAATGGTTTTTAATAAAAAGTTAATCTTAAAGGGATTTATAATAAAGAAGAGATACATAGTTAAAATCTTACAATAAACTTTTCAGACTTGTCTTACCTAATTTTTTGTGTGTTGGAATCTAGTTGTCAGTTAAAATTGGCAATTACAGCTTGAAGTTTTCTCTGGAATTTGTTTTAATGTTATTTTGCTTATATCCTGAAAACATTTCAT